TAGATGTGGACCTGAACAGAACCAGGACCAGTAGATGTGGACCTGAACAGAACCTGGACCTGAACAGAACCAGGACCAGTAGATGTGGACCTGAACAGAACCAGGACCAGTAGATGTGGACCTGAACAGAACCTGGACCTGAACAGAACCAGGACCAGTAGATGTGGACCTGAACAGAACCAGGACCAGTAGATGTGGACCTGAACAGAACCTGGACCTGAACAGAACCAGGACCAGTAGATGTGGACCTGAACAGAACCAGGACCAGTAGATGTGGACCTGAACAGAACCTGGACCTGAACAGAACCAGGACCAGTAGATGTGGACCTGAACAGAACCAGGACCAGTAGATGTGGACCTGAACAGAACCTGGACCTGAACAGAACCAGGACCAGTAGATGTGGACCTGAACAGAACCAGGACCAGTAGATGTGGACCTGAACAGAACCTGGACCTGAACAGAACCAGGACCAGTAGATGTGGACCTGAACAGAACCAGGACCAGTAGATGTGGACCTGAACAGGACCTGGACCTGAACAGGACCTGGATCAGTAGATGTGGACCTGAACAGAACCTGGACCAGTAGATGTGGACCTGAACAGAACCAGGACCAGTAGATGTGGACCTGAACAGAACCAGGACCAGTAGATGTGGACCTGAACAGGACCTAGACCTGAACAGGACCTGGATCAGTAGATGTGGACCTGAACATAACCTGGACCTGAACAGAACCAGGACCAGTAGATGTGGACCTGAACAGAACCTGGACCAGTAGATGTGGACCTGAACAGGACCTGGACCTGAACAGGACCAGGATCAGATCCAGTGCTGATAAAACTCTTTACCTGGTTGCTGGCGCTTTTGTTCCGTTTGAACTCGTCTCTGGCCCAGTCTCTCAGGTACTTCCGGTCGGACTCGTCCGGAACCTGCCTGATGGTCCTCAGCATGGTTCTGTAGAGGCCCAGAACCTGCTGTCTCTGTAGAAACTGAGACAAGAAGCAGGTTTTATCAACACGGCTCAGGGGAACAGAAATCCTCCTGTCGGTATTTGTTTGTTTGTTTGTTTGTTTGTTTGTTTGTTTGTTTACCTGTTTTAAAGAAAGGGTCGCGGGCGGTAACCTGGACACGGTCATGATTAATCTGCGGTCAAATGTGGACAGAAACATGAAAAAAGACGGAACGAAGCGTCTCCATGGAAACAGCCTGAGACTCTCAGGTCCGGAACATCTGACTGGTCACATGTCTGAAACTGAAAATTAAATGACACAAAATATATAAACTATATTAAAAACCAACTAACATTACAGTCAGATGGGTTTCATGTGACTTTCTTCTTCTTCTTCTTCTTCTTCTTCTTCTTCTTCTTCTTCTTCTTCTTCTTCTTC